ATATAAAAATTGACAAAATATATAAAGTTATTTTAAAACTTGAGTAGATAGATTTTAAGTTGCTTTTTATTTCGATTTCAACCAATAGGCTTCTAGAAAGAATATTTTTATCGATTTTCTTACGACGTAAATTAAATAAGTTTATGAAGAGAAGAATAGTTGGGGTGGTCAGTCAAAAAAGAAGGCAAAAATAAATGATAATATTTATTTTTACATATACCGACGTTTCGACCTGAAGTTCTGGCCTTCATCAGGGCTAAGAAAATAACCAGATAACAAGGTATGAGAAACATAAGTAGTGATGGTAAAAAAAAATAAAAAATTTTACTCATTTTACTTTATTTTTTTTTATTATTTTTTATTTTTTTACCATCAGTACTTATGTTTCTCATACCTTGTTATCTGGTTATTTTCTTAGCCCTGATGAAGGCTTGAACTTCAGTTCGAAACGTCGGCATATGTAAAAATAAATATTATCATTTATGTTTGCCTTCTTTTTTGACTGACCACCCCAACTATTTTTCTCTTCATTATCCACGACAGTCAACCATTTACCAATTATAAATAAGTTTATTTTTAATTTAAATTACAATATGCAATATAATTTTTAATTTAAGCCCAAAAGACGGAACCTCACTCCTCCCCTCCATAATGGTAATATATAACCTTGTGTTATGAAAAAATATATAAAAAAATTATCTCTAAAAGTATTATTGTTCCTGTAATTACATTTAATAGAACTTCAAAAATCACTTCAATACCATTTAATTTCGGTAATTACTTTATTTATTTTTCTTCCAAAGCAATAATAGTTATATATACATATATAAAAAAATACTTTCTGACTGGAGCTACCCCTACAAAATTAAATCCTGGATTCACTACTGTCACTGATTGTAAATTGTATATTGAATATTATAATAAAGAATTTTAATTAAATTATAGAAAAAACAAATTTTGTTTTTAAAAATAAAAAGACTGATAAATACTTTAATAACTGATGACTGATAATTTTAAATATTTTTTTTTTATGAATAAAGCTGAAAAATGGTTTTATTTTAAGGCGGAACGAAAGTTATAATGAAAATGCAACAATTTTTTTTTAATCTGAGTTTCCAAATAAATTATATATTATTAGCATAAACACAGTTTTCAATTAAACACTTCATTAAATGTACATGAAATTGAATTTTTCATCCTAATTACCGTAATTCCCACTCAGGAAATTTATTTTATAACTGCCTTAGAATCTCTGGAACACGATTACTGAGTTTTCAGGGATTTGTGATATATTGTATATGTATATGTATAATTAGAGAAACGTGCCTTTGTCGGCACATCTCTATAGGAAATATCTCTATATTGCAGACAATTTATAATTCTCATCAATTTTTGAGTGATTTTATAGATTTGAGGACTTCTACATAACGGACCCTCTCTATAACGGACTTGGACAGACCGTAAGCGCAGGAGGACAGACTTCGGAGGATATATTTTCGCCTCTCACCCCAATAATTTGAAATAAAAAAAAAATCAATGATGAATAAGCTATATTAATGAATAAATTGTGTAAACTAAAATCTAAAAACTAGGAAGTTTTTATTTTATTTTATTTTTTATTTTAGTTTTTATTGTGTTTTTATTTTATTTGTTTATTTTTTTTTATTTACCTTCTTCATCAGTATTATTTATTTACTTCTTATATTTATTTCTTTATTATTTGTATATATTGTATGAATGAGAAATTTTAGCCCTAATGCTTATAGCCCTCCATCAGTGGCTGATTGTATTATTATTCAATAAATAGATTTAAAAAAAAAAATAGGCTAGGGTAGGACCTAGGAGTAGGTATGTAACTATTTTATTGATACCTAACGTTACTTTTATTTATATTCGGAGACAATAATATTTATCATCATATCCTATGATTTTATAATTTAATCACTCTTCAATTTTCACGTGATATCACATTTTCCTCGACAAACTATTCGTACTATTCGTATAAAAACATTGTATTTTTATTTGAGGTTGTACACACTAAGGAATCAAGGATATTTTTCCCTTTCTTACATAATTCTTTTTTAGCTGAAATATATCTATAAATGTAGCAATGTTATGAAGGCTGCCACTATTGTTTTTAGATATTATCAAATATACAGGGTGTTTCGTAATTGCACGCCACTATTTTAGGTATGTGTTCACTAACACAAAATAAACAAAAAAGTTCATATTAACATATATCTCAAACTCATTTATTAAACAGATATCAAAGGTTAAAGATTTATTATTTATAATTATTATTTATTTATTATTATTACAACATTTAAGAATAACTGTTCAAAGGGGCCTCCGTTTTGTTGAATGCAACATTCAGCAGGACGAATCCATGCTTCTCTGGCTCTTCGTATAGCATCAGGATGGTGCTTGATAGTTAGTGCGGCTTCCACCATCCGATTTCTTAGCTCTTCTTGCGTGCCAACTGCCGCAGAATAAACCATAGACTTCATCCAGCCCCACACAAAATAATCTAATAGCGTTAAATCCGGAGATCGTGGCGGCCATTCAACAGGTCCGTTTCGACCAACCCATCGGTCTCCATAAATTGCATTTAAATAATCAGTGACACTATTAGAAAAGTGAGCTGGAGCACAGTCATGCATAAACCACAGCCTTTGCCTAATGCCTAGCGGGATATCTTCAAGGAGTTCATGAAGATTATTTTGCAATAAGAAGAAGGTAGCAAAAAGAAGGGGTCGATGATGTTGTCGCCAGAAGACCACACCTGACATTTAAAGAATATGTATGTTGTTAATCTCCAACAGCAGTCGTATGAGGGTTTTCTTCAGCCCAAGTATTTCGAAAATTAAGAATCCCGTTTCTTGTAAAGCAAGATTCATCAGTAACCAAAATGCAGTTCTGGAAGTTAGGGTCTCGTGTGCATTGTCGAATTAACCACTGGGAGAAACTTCTGCGCTTGTTATAATCTTTTGGTAACAAATCTTGCCTCTTCGATACGTGAAATGGATACAATTGTTGTTCGCGTAAAGTTCGCCATAAGTTAAAAGCATGTCTGTTTGTTCTTCAAAAGTGAATACATTTATGGTGTCTCCCATGATAATCATGTATTGAACTGTGTCACAGTATTCACTCAAACTAAAAGACATAGAACTTGACAAACAAATGAGCAACTATTGTCATTGCTTATCGTTCATTTGTTTATCAGGTGATTAAAACCTGTTACTTAGAATTAAACACGTTGAACTTTGTACAGTTAGTCTTAATGTAGTAAATAAATAATAAATCATTAGCATTTGATATTTGTTTAATAAATGAGTTTGAGATATATGTTAATATGAACTTTTTTGTTTATTTTGTGTTAGCGAAAAGATACCGGAAATAGTGCCGTGAAATTACGAAACACCCTGTATATAATAAGTAAAACAAAATATATATATATATATATATATATATATATATATATATATATATATATATATATATAATTCCTTTAAATTATAAAAAGATATAAAGAAATTAATTTAGAATATTTAATGTCATATAGATTAGTTTCCGAATAATTATATTGAATTTTCACCAGTGATAAAAACTCCCGCCATTTTTTCAAAATCAAAAATCTGAGATATATTACAATATTCTGACAAAGAGAAAATTCATAAAATATCTTAGTATAAATCACTAAGAACTGATAAAGTAACATGAAATGTCACTTAAAGGTTGTTTTTTTTGCAATAACACGATATCAATAAAACATATTTCCTCGAACGAAAATCTTGAAGAAAAAAAATAGGTATGATGAAAACAAAATCTCATTTGCAAAAAATTAAAAAAGAATTAGGGTAAGACATCAGTGATCAGCAGAGATAGCTAAGGAAATTTTTGTCTTTCTTGGCTTATGCCGCCGTAATTATTATAGTTATAAACTTCTCCGTTGGAATCTCTAAGATCTGATTTTTCTGTTTAGCACTTTAAAATTGAAAAAATATTCAGTTATGCAGATATAATCTCCATTAAAAAAAAACAATATCTTTTTGCACAAGTTATGGACACCCTGAACTTCAATTGTTCTAGTAATGGATGGGTGGTTGGTACCAGTAATAAACATGTCTCAGAAAAATTTTAAATTTTTATTTAACTATAAAGATAACGATAAAGATAAGATAACATAAATGTTCAACCTTTTCTTACCAAAACTGTTAGTAGAAAGGTATGAACAGTGATCACATGAGCACTATAGAAACAACAATGATAAGCATTCTAAAATTTTCTTTTGGGAACTTTGTTCATACAGTTGTCAATAAAGGTCCTTTTTCTTCAATCTATACAAAAAAAAAATGGAACCTTTAAATCAACAAGGAAGCTTATTATGTATATTTTTACTTACACTTACCTATATATGAAATATATAGTAAGGATAAGTATTGCGATCGAGAAAATTTTGAATCTGAGTTTTCAACGGAAATACATGTTTTCAGGTCTCCTGAGTCCAAATAACCAAGTCTCGCAAAATGGGCTATGTGTGTGTCTGTGTATATATAATGTGGTAAGTCTTCCTCAAAACCGAAAAGTCGTACGAAACTGATCATACATATTTAAGATAGGTATATGCCTTAGATGTTACAGCAACTTTTTCCTTAAAATCGGCTAACCGGAAGTGCCACTTCATATCAACGGTGAAACACAATGCATAATCAACGGATCGTACAATTCATAATCAACCGTTGATATAATAAATAGGACTTTTTTTATTTTAATAATATTAATGATTTGTTAGATGTAAGCTTTAGCTTTAGTTCGGTTAAAAAGGAATTCAAAAATTGTATAATACCCCAACATTGCTAGAAAATTATTTCTATTCAAAGTTGATCTGTGAGTGAAATTTGTGTGTTGTGCACACCAGATTTTTATTTATCTAATACTAAAGAGAAACAATTAGCACAAATCGTAAAACGTTGAATCCATTGGAAGACGCCTTAGAGATAATGATAAGATTTCGACGAACTGCAATCGTTGAAGAAGAAATACTCGATGCTGTTCAATTATCTCCTACTACTAGTACCAGAAGATTGTCTTCTCGTTTCGATATTTTCTTTACCAGCGCATGGCGAACTTCACGCGAACAACAATTGTATCCATTTCAGGTATCGAGTAGGTAAGATTTGTTACCACAAGATTATAACAAGCGCAGAAATTTCTCCCACTGGTTAATTCGACAATGCACACGAGATCCTAACTTCCTGAACTGCATTTTGGTTACTGATGAATCTTGCTTTAAATGAAACGGGATTCTTAAATTTCGAAATACCCACACTTAGGCTGAAGAAAACCCTCATACAACTGCTGTTGGACATTAACAATATACATTTTCTTTAAATGGCAGGTGTGGTCTTCTAGCAGTTACGGAATGGACTTAATCCGTAACAACTATTAATATTAACTATTATTTTATTTAATCATTTAATCATGCATTGACCTTTATCAAAGCATAAAAGCCCTAGATAGCCAGGTCAAGTCTGATAGCTTGGAAATAGTTATCTAGAATGTACTGACTGGACAGAAGACACTTATCAAGACTTAGGGAACAATAACCGTTTTCAACAAACGAGCACTTTCTCACAGACTTCATATCGATTCTAAAAGATAAGGATATCAATTCTTAACTTCATTCACACGCTTCCTAGACCGACCAGAATTGATTCATCCCCCATACTATTCCTGAGCATATAACACTCATCCTTCTAAGACCAAACCACACATGTAGTTGCATTCTTGTGTCAGACTCTTCACTGTAGAAGACCTGGAGTGAACTGATGTAGTCAACCCATATATCCATACTATATTACTCTGTATTTTAGATGCCATTTGTAACATTATGAATAAAAGCATTATTTATAAAGTCTCCACTGCCTCCGATTCGTTAATTTAGCGACAACATCATCGGCTCCTCCTTTTTGCCACCTAGGCTGTCAGGTATATCTAACTTACATTTGTTTGCAAAATAATCTTCATGAACTCCTAGAAGATATTTCTCTAGACATTGGGCAAAGGTTGTGGTTTATGCATGGCGGTGCTTCAGCTCACTTTTCTAATAGTGTCACTGATTATTTAAAATCAGCTTATGGAGCTGGTCGAGTAATGGTCGAAACGAGCCCGTTAAATGGCTACCACAATCTCCGGATTTAACGCCATTAGATTATTTTGTGTGGAACTGAATGAAGTCTATGGTTTATTCTACGGCAGTTACCACGCAAGAAGAGCTAAGAAATCGGATCGTGGAAGCCGCAGTAACTATCAACCACTAGTAGTAGTATAGTTTATTTTATTTGTCTAAGGAAATTCCTGTACAAATAAATATAATGGTATAATTAACAATGTTAGATCTTAAGTCTAGTACTGCATTCAAACATTAACAATGTCCATAGCATTAAGTATGACTAATATAATAACAGATTAGTAAACGATATATATATATACATAGCTAAAACTTTTTTTTTTTTTTAAATATTCCAGAGGTATAAGACAAATGACAATATAAATAAGCATTAATAATAATATAAACAGCCCTGTATGAAATAATATAGTTGGTTTATTTTTTTTCATAGTGTCTATTTTCAGTATCTCCTCCACACTAGCATCTTCTCTGGATTCAGTGATAAATGCTTTCAAGTACTTATTTCTCGGCTCGTTGAACTTGATACATTGGATCAAAAAATGAGTTACCGGGTCAGTTACTAGGCAGTTGCATGCACCACAAACCTCACTGGATTTAATAGCCAAAGTAGCATCTTTTAAGTATATTTTCATAAAATCTTTACTTGCTACTCTGAGACGATTAACGGCTCTTAATTTGTTTAAATTCAGAGCCCTGAACTGAAGATAATCCTCTGGTCTGGTAACATTAAAGGAGCAGATTTTTCTATATCTTGGGTTTGATTTAGAGTTTAACACTCTGTCGATGTCCTTGGATGCGTGATGGTTTCTTATTTTTTCCATGATTTTATCTTTACTATCAACCACCATCCTGATGCTATACGAAGAGGCCCCTTTGAACAGTTAATATAAATCTTGTAATAATAATAAACAAATAGTAATAATAAATAATTAATCTTTAATATATGTTTAATAAATGAGTTTGAGTTATGTGTTAATATGAACTTTTTTGTTTATTTTGTGTTAGTGAACACATACCTAAAATAGTTTCGTGCAAATACGAAAAAATACAACATAAAAATCCTTTAAACTATACAAACTGACAGAGATTAGACATATGGATACCATAGGCTTACTATAAAATAGAATAAAGTGAATACATGAAGATATGAGAGAAGGTATATATACATATATAAGAGTACAGTATAGACATACATAGTAGAATGTATACGTAGGAAGAACAGCAATACAGAATAAAATGGCCATTGCAGATCTATATAAGAGTCCCTATTGTTGGCAGTTGTGACCTAAACTGAATACGCAGTGCCTCCTTTAGCAAAAGGAGATATACGGTACTCCACTTACGGCAATTCTCCATCCTTCCAAGAGTTATTCCCGATCGGAGAGTGTCCTGAATTCGTGAGAAGGACAATGATTTACAGCTTCCATAATTCAGAGAAACGAAGTTCCCCCCCCTTTTATCACGGAGGAGCTGAAATACTACTTTTTCACATGGACTTATAAATATCTACGGGGAAGGGACTTTCGGGCTGAAGTCCCCCCCCCTCCAAAATAGTAAAATATAACAATGTTTTACAAAAAAAAAATATTAAAAACTATCTCTTAAAGTATTCTTGTTCGTGTAATTACATTTAACTAGTAGGCCCGTGCGAAAAATTCGATCACCATATAGTTATCAAATGCCAAATTAATAAGGAAAGAAAATAATGCAACCTATCAAAAGATAAAGAAATCAAATGTTACTTTATCGATAAATATAATCGACAAATAAAACAAAAATTAATTTAAATCTTCATTTTTGTTTGGAACCAACATGTTTACAAATTTCAGTAAGTAAATTTCTATGCTAAAAATTGTCCGATTTCGATGATTTTTTTCCCCCTTTTGTAGGGGATTTAGTAATCTTTTACATAATCATGGGTATAACACAGAGAAAAGTGTGTAATTTTTTAGTTATTTGCAAATACAATTTGTTTTCTTTCATAATTTGTTTGCCTGAATTTTCGGAATGATTGGACTATTTTGTCCCCTAAAGGAGAAGGAAGCCTTCAAAATTGGTGGCTCAATCTTGGGATTTGGGGAAGAATTGACGATGATATGGCTTGCCGATCAAAAACACCATCGATAAATAATATAAACTCCCCCTCTCTCGATCATAGAGACCTCAAGTCGACGAAATGAGACATGTATTCAATGACAGTACTACAATTAATGTAAGATTGTGGGGATGCGAACCCTATGCCTTGCGTTATCTCGAAAATAGTACGTTTTTTGGCTTAGAAGCGCAGGATCCGATAGTTCCAGAGGAACTATCCGGGTCCTGCTGTACGCATCAAAATCTTCAAGATCCAATTTGTCCCGTATCGATCTACAGACCTACCATCGTTCAGGTGTTGAAGCCTAGCAAAAAGTTTGTACCGACTTTATTTATTTTAGAAAGAAAAGCAAAAGTGGAGAATACGATTCGCTAACCCCCCGTGAAATTCTGAATCCAACGGTACCCCATTCATGGTATTTGAGCCTGACAGGAGCTTATATTTGGTACAAAACCCATTTCGAGCCTTACTGTAATAATATATATGTGGATGTGGATGTGTGGATAGGACTTCAAGAACCACTTAAACACCACTTCATATAGGTAGTTAATTTCTTTCTTTTTTTTTTCTAATTAATTATCGTTATATGTATATGAAAAAAAAAAATCTTTCGGCCTGAAGCTCCCCCCCACTCAAAATTATATCCTGGATCCGCTAGTGTCCCAGAATAAATAAAATATTATTATTATTATCATTATTATTATATTTTCCATTTCGCCTCCATAACATGGCTTCGCGTTAAGATACAATTTTGAATTATATTTTATATCAAAGAAGATGGAATGCTGAAAAATACTCTCGCATACAGTATGCAGGCCGTTTCTGAGACATTTTAAATCATAAAACATTTCAATTAGTCAACTATAATCAACTTGACCCGAGCGTTAAAATCTGATGGATAAATCTAATTCATTCTCTAGAAAAAAGTTGAAAAACACCTAAAGACGTTGAAATGGAAAACCAATTTACTAAACTGCGACGAATTTTTGTTGTTATTGATTTATTTAATAGGTCTAAAGGATGTTTGACTGAGACTTTATGAACAATTTCGACAGCATATTAGTATTTTTCTGATCCTTTAAAAAAATTATTTAAAAAAAAAAAAAAAAAAAAAAAAGAATATCTCAAAAATTAGAGATAACTGTGCGATGCCACTTTTTCCATCTAATTTGGAAGGTGGTGACAAAGAAATGAGAGGAAAATAATTCTAAAAAATTGAAAAGAAAAACTTGATCGTAAAACCAAACAGATAAAATATGACGTTAACCATGGATTTGCCCACATGATTCTCAGAAAGACTCAGAAACACCAATACAAGGGCACCAAAAAGTGTTTTCAGGAATATCCTAGGACTGAGCAAGGACAGTCCACTCAATCCTCTTATCGTAGAGCCAGACCAGATCATCCACTTCACATTCGATAGGTTTCGAGTGTTCGAGATAAGATATCAGCTGTTATTTATGGACGTGAACAGGTGTGAACGCTGAAAATATAGTACATAGTAAAGAGTAAATACTCACTATTCACACAAGTTACCATAGCAACAGCAGTGATATGAAGTCGTAAATTAAAAAAAAATATATAAATGTTTAGATGATATATTCACGTAGTTTGCAATACCAAGACCAAAGCCGTCTAACTGTTGCAAGACCAACATTCGCCTAAAACTTCGTAAATAACTTCATCTCATCCTAACCTAAATAATTTTTTATCAACGAAAACTCTTAGAAATGTAGCGTTTTCTCATTAAATTAATTAATTATATGAAGTACTAAAAACTTATGAATACTTATTCGTTTTCCACTCGAATGGTAAGATAATTTGTCCAGAAAATTGAGAAAAAAAAAGGTGACCTACAAAAATATTGGGCCGTTTGGCCCATGTAACCTTGTTATTTTGACATGTTGGAGGTGGAGGTCACGCAAAACGGCCAATATTGTTGTAGTCCACCTTTTTTTTTTCTATCCTCGTGTGACCTCTGACTTAAAATCCAAATTTCCAAAAATGTTGACGTTTTCACTTCTATCGCGCTGGTCTAAAGCACACACCTTATAGTCTGTGGGCCAGACCCCCTTACCGTGCACCCCCCCCCCACATCCCTATAAATTGCATATCGTTGTGTTCCTTGTGACAATTTATTAAAAAAAAGCCAATGTTCCCACAAAAAAAAGTGAACGAACTGCCCCAAAATGGCGTCCAAACATGGCGGATTGACGACTTTGACTTTAGTTAGTTTTTTTGTTACTGAGAATCAGCATTTGGCTTAATTTCATCATAGTTGGTCTTTTATTAAAGCTGGATAGTCAGAAAATAATAAAACATGAAAAAATATTAAAAACTAATTGGCTTAGGCATTAAAAAAAATCGGTAAAGTCAATTTTTTGTTCAAAAAAATTTTCAAGTTGAAAATCAGGCGTCGTTTGTAATTAAACGGTCAACAATAATGCAAAACGTGCTGAAATAAAACATCTGGAGAATACATTCCTCTTTCTAAAACACTGATTACTTTTTTAAATATTTGAAGTAGTTCCATAGTAAATGTACATAAGCAGCAGAAAAGCGCTACTGGCGCAGGTGCCTTCAGGCCTCTACCACACCACTCAGTACTCATAAATGGCTTAGTTATAGTGCTATAATAACTTTTTTGTTATATTATATTGATTGTATTAACGAACAAATATTAATACAATAATTTAATTGTCAAAAATAGTTTTATTAAAAATTTATTATTATTTTTTTAATTTAATTTTTTTAATTTAACTTCCTTTATTCTATACGGAGGTCGCTTAAGAAGGCCTCTATTATAAAAATAATATAATTATAATAATAAAACTTAATTCAAAAATACTTTGCAGAATATCTTGAATTTTTTATTTAATATTTGCAATTTAACATATTGTTTTATATATTAACTGATTCTTAGAGGTAATTTAAATTTTATATACTTCCCCGGAAACGAGTCATATTAATATCTGTTTTATAAACTAAAATAACATATACCTAATCTGACCTACTTTTAATGAATAGGTGATGAATTGTTTAGTAAAATTCATATATCGCTATTAAAAAAATCATTTTTATTTCCTTAATTTTATTCGGAAGTTGGACCATATCACAAAAAATACGAAATTTTAATATTAAATGCATTATTCTCTCTACACAAAAGAAATATGGAAAGGGCGAAGCTATAAGTTCTTATAGGTAACTGGAACTGATTGTTAGTATTTGGTCTCAAAATGAGGGAAAACGCGAATTGAACCCAAACATTGGAAAAATACATTAAGCGAACGACAAAGGAAGTGCCAAAATGTCGGAACAGAAATCAAGGATACAAGGATCAGTATCCATTATATGGCTAAACGAATATATAGTAGACAGATGAACAGAATATTTCAAGATGCTGCTAAAAGAGGGTCAAAATGCTTGATGAGTTTGCATGATATTAAGCAGGTTTATTATGGTGAAGACCACTTTATCAGCAAGAAGCATTTGTTTTAAGCAATTGGCAAGCAGGTCTGGAGGAAGTAAACGAGGTTTATAATGGTGAAAACCATTTCATTTTAGATTGCTATTGAAGTTGCACATTGGGACTATCTTCACTTTGAAGCAGGTTATAGAGAGGTCTATCGACAAAGGAAAATAGCTCTTCTCCTGTTTAGTGCAATTGCAAAAGATTTTTGAAGGAATCTGAAAGGAAAACGAGCTTTTGTGAAAGACTAGTAAATATTAGATCAATCCAAAGTGTGAGGCACTAAGCAGATACAGAACCATTTTTCTTTGTCTGTGGACTTCTCTATAACCTACCTTAAAGTGAAGACAATCCCAATTTGCAATTTATGTTCCAATGTACAACTTGAGTTTCTCAATCCATATCGCTCAGACAATCGACAATATTTCTTATTTTAGCTTCTACAATTCTTGAGTAGACTTTCTTTGGTACTATAAACAGTAAGGAATCTCGAATAACATTTCCTGGTATCTTATTTTCTGTAAAGGGACAAAACTACAGTCCTTTCATGTCATTTTCTATTACATTTGTAGCCTTCGTCCAGACCAGCTGACTCGCCAATTGCTTAGAACAAATGCTTCTTGCTGATAAAGTGGTCTTCACCATAATAAACCTGCTTAATATCATGCAAACTCATCAAGCATTTTGACCCTCTTTTAGCAGCATCTTGAAATATTCTGTTCATCTGTCTACTATATATTCGTTTAGCCATATAATGGATACTGATCCTTGTATCCTTGATTTCTGTTCCGACATTTTGGCACTTCCTTTGTCGTTCGCTTAATGTATTTTTCCAATGTTTGGGTTCAATTCGCGTTTTCCCTCATTTTGAGACCAAATACTAACAATCAGTTCCAGTTACCTATAAGAACTTATAGCTTCGCCCTTTCCATATTTCTTTTGTGTAGAGAGAATAATGCATTTAATATTAAAATTTCGTATTTTTTGTGATATGGTCCAACTTCCGAATAAAATTAAGGAAATAAAAATGATTTTTTTAATAGCGATATATGAATTTTACTAAACAATTCATCACCTATTCATTAAAAGTAGGTCAGATTAGGTATATGTTATTTTAGTTTATAAAACAGATATTAATATGACTCGTTTCCGGGGAAGTATATAAAATTTAAATTACCTCTAAGAATCAGTTAATATATAAAACAATATGTTAAATTGCAAATATTAAATAAAAAATTCAAGATATTCTGCAAAGTATTTTTGAATTAAGTTTTATTATTATAATTATATTATTTTTATAATAGAGGCCTTCTTAAGCGACCTCCGTATAGAATAAAGGAAGTTAAATTAAAAAAATTAAATTAAAAAAATAATAATAAATTTTTAATAAAATTATTTTTGACAATTAAATTATTGTATTAATATTTGTTCGTTAATACAATCAATATAATATAACAAAAAAGTTATTATAGCACTATAACTAAGCCATTTATGAGTACTGAGTGGTGTGGTAGAGGCCTGAAGGCACCTGCGCCAGTAGCGCTTTTCTGCTGCTTATGTACATTTACTATGGAACTACTTCAAATATTTAAAAAAGTAATCAGTGTTTTAGAAAGAGGAATGTATTCTCCAGATGTTTTATTTCAGCACGTTTTGCATTATTGTTGACCGTTTAATTACAAACGACGCCTGATTTTCAACTTGAAAATTTTTTTGAACAAAAAATTGACTTTACCGATTTTTTTTAATGCCTAAGCCAATTAGTTTTTAATATTTTTTCATGTTTTATTATTTTCTGACTATCCAGCTTTAATAAAAGACCAACTATGATGAAATTAAGCCAAATGCTGATTCTCAGTAACAAAAAAACTAACTAAAGTCAAAGTCGTCAATCCGCCATGTTTGGACGCCATTTTGGGGCAGTTCGTTCACTTTTTTTTGTGGGAACATTGGCTTTTTTTTAATAAATTGTCACAAGGAACACAACGATATGCAATTTATAGGGATGTGGGGGGGGGGTGCACGGTAAGGGGGTCTGGCCCACCGTGTATTAGTTGTTTTGTTTTTTGTACTTCTAATACCTGAAATCCCCAACCAACTTCGCTTATAAGAATCTAGTCAACCATTTTTCTACCACTATTTGTGTTGCCCAAAATCGGTCTTGGTCTTGCACTTTGCAAGGCCAAGGCCAAGGCCGCCTAACTGTTGCAAGACCAAAACTATATTTACAAGACCAGGACTGGTAAAAAAAAAAATCGAACTTTTAAAATAAAAATTAGGCAAAATAGTTACTAATACTTGACAATCTTAGTTACTATATGTTAATAATTGGTATAACCAATATACTTTTGCATTCAAATCCTCTAATTTTTCATTCGGGCTTAATAAGGTTTCTCTTATCTAAAAAAATACATTAATATCTCTATACTAATAAGCTAATAAGTAACTGCAAGACTGTTGCGAGACTCTTGCGCACGACGAAGACCATGACCAAGGCACATTAAGCACAAGAAAGGCATTAAATAAAATTCTCCAAAGAAAGAAACCTTTAGGATCGACGTATCTGTAAAATTATATAAAAAATTCGAGGAGGGTATAATCATTTACTACAACAATAAAGTAGCAACAGTGACATAAACTAAAAATAAATCATATGAATGTTTAATCTCTGAAAATTCTGCAAACATTCCAAGATACAAATGGTCACAGTGGAACTCGCCAAACTGTTATTCGAAAAAAATAAAGGAAAAAAAAGTTTTCGTTCGTGAAAAAATGTAAATGAGTAAGCCATAAGAAAGTTAATTCCATTCCACTGAAACAAAAGTTAGCATATACATTGTAAATTAAAAAGTCTGGTGTGTCCACTCACACGACTTTCCTACATATTTCAGAAATGTTTTTATATCTTTAAGTATGTCCATCAAGAAACAAAAAAAAAAAAATTGAATTAGATTTATTTTCCTGAAAATTGATTAAAGAAAAGATTTGAGTACGATTTATTTGATAAATTAAGGCAAG